AAACTCGGAGAAAGGTACAAGGAAATGGAGAAACCTTAGTCTAGTATCCCCATTTTACAGAGAAGGAAACAGAGTCAGACGTTGACTTTTGCTGAGGATAATCCAGCAAAATTGTGAAAGAATTGAAGCCCTTGATTTCCAGTCTTGTTCCTGGTATGCCTGCACCTACATCAGGAATTTAAAAAGCGTTAATTCTTTTTTACCTGAATACACCAGACATTAATCATGACACTTCAGAAAGTTTCCAGGATTTCCAGTTATAATGACTAAATTAAAACATTACCACAAATGCCATATTTTCAGGTAATTTCTCAACAGAAAAGCCATGCCAATTATTCAGCACTTAGCTCCTCTAACTCAAGCATCAGAATAGTGACTGCGATTTTGAATTGTAACTACATGAACAGAAAAGGAAGAAGAGACATCTTCCTGTTTTAGGATTGTATGATGGGACACATCTTGAAACTTGGGTTCTAGTCTTGGCCCTTCTCCTGAGCTAGCTGTGTAGTTTCACTAATTCATTCTACTTCAATTTCTGCATAAGAAGCAGCAGGTTTAGATCAAGGCTAAACTTGGGTTCCAGGAAGGACATCAGGAGATCAATGAGCCATGAAGAAATTATTGGAAAAATTTAACAGATGTATCTCTTCTTCTAAAATGTGGTTTTTAGCTAGGGAGATAGCTCAGTGGCATGCAGAAGCACCTGCCTGGCAAGTGCAAGGTTCTGAGTTTGATTCCCCAGTACTAAAAATACATAAATAAATAAGTAAATAATGGTTTTCATCAGATTCTCAGAGGCATCTGGAACTCAAAATTTTAGGAAGTATTGATTTAGATAGTCTCTTAACTTTCCCCCAATTTTGACAATCCCTGTCTGTCTTTAAAAATGACTGTCTAGTTCATCATCATTAAGTATATTTATGAAACATACTCACATGTGCACTGCCCAGCTGAGCATGAGACAAAAATCAGATGAGACAAGACATGAGCCCACTGGGACTGTATCATTCTTGTTATCATTGTCACCAATGTGGAAGGAAGGACAGTAGATCCTACCAAGACCTGTCAGCATAACGCAGACCAGTGGATGATGCATTCAACCCTTCCCCTGAGCTCATTTTTGGCAAGACCAAGTGCCCTGCTCCTTACCCATTCCCTCAAAATGAATTGTTTGTACTCAGGATTAAAAGCACCTGGCCTATACCAACACCAACAGGCTCATCACTGGGGCCATGGAAAATATTCAATATTTAAAAATGGAAAGTGATAGATTGTGAAAATACAGAAATTTTGAATTTAAGTGTAGAGACAAGGCAGTCAGAAGAATGCAGCCAGCTCACCACACTCCCAAGGCCAGGCTCTCTGCCCTCTGCCAGCTGTCCTGCAGGGTAATAGTGTGTAGGATGGGAGAGAGAGAAAAAGTAGGATTAGAGTGTGGCAGTTATTGCGAAGTCGAGAAGAGGAGTCAAGTAAGGCTAATGAGGAGCTGAGCCACTGGGGGGTGGAGGTGGGGGTGGCCACAGGAGGGAACCCCCATTCTCTACTCCATCAGACTCAGAGCACTGTTTGTTCATTCATACCAGAGGCAGGACATTTGGCCCCACTCACTAGCAGTCCCAAAAGCAAGGAGTCTGCTGGCCTGTCCTACTTCAGACTATGAACTCTCTAGGCCCTCCTCACTCTCCTGCTGTCCTGTGGAGTCTCAAGAAAAAAGAGAAAGCCACAGTCAAGCCAGCTGTGATAACAGGCAGCTTTCAAAGACCACTGGATGATTTCAAGATACAAGCAACTTGATTTTGTTGAAGCGAGCCCAACCATACCATGGCTCACAGTCACTCTGCAAACATCTAATCCAGGAAAACCGCATCCCGCGTTTACTCCCACCACCTCCTCTGATGCCTGGTTCTTACTTACACGGTTTGATCTACTTAAAGCTGGGGTGTCATGAGCCTGAGGATGTCTGAAAAAAGCTCAGATGTGACAAAAGCTTAATAGCTGGCATGAATATGAGAACCCCACATTACAGGATTCTAAGCCAGCAGTCCTTGTTTCTTGTCTACCTGGTCTCTCGTTTACTTTTTTTTTTTTTTTTTTTTAATGTATTTGATTGTTGCAGGGTCTCACTATACAGCTCAGACTCGTGGTGATGCTCCTGCTTTCAGCCTCCCCAGGACTGGGATTATAGGTGTGCGTCACTATACCTGGACTCTAGCCGGCTCAGCCCACACATGTGGTGCCGGGGATTGAACTGCGATCTCTGAGCTTGCCTAAGTTTGCCTAAGCAAGTGCTTTAGTCCACTGAGCTATCTCGCCGGTCCCTGGCCTTTAGTTTAGTTTGTAAAAATTTTACAAGGACAGGGGCTGGGGAGATAGCTCAGTAGAATAAGTGCTTGCCTGACAAGTACAAGGTCCTGAGTTCAATCCCTGGTACCACCAAAAAAAAAAGTGTCTTAAATTTTTTTTTTACAAGGACAGCACCAAGATAGACATCAGGAGAAGTTAGCTCCTACAATGAAGGCAAAGAATCAACCCAACTGTTCTTACCAAAAGAACAGTTACATAGTAGATACTCAGTGAAGAGCAGCCAGTGATCAATGATATCTTTTGACAGAAGACTTGATCAGATCCTTGTCTGTCATGAACTAGGAGATAGACTGTCATCAACATTCACATTCAGGCCACCAGCTAATTTCAACCAACCATGTATGTGGGCCAAAGTCACTTTCCACTGTAAACTAGATCCAGCCTACATTCGACTCCTGTTTCTGCTAATTAAACAAGTTACTTGACCTGTTTACAGCCTGATTTTATCTTCCTCTTCCCCTTCTTCCTCCTCATCCTCCCCCTTCCTTTCTCTGTCCGTCTGTCTGTCTCTCTCTCTCTCTCTCTCTCTCTCTCTCTCTCTCTCCTTTTTTTCTCTCTCCCTGCTGATTAGAGATTGAACCAAGGCCCTTCACACTGAACTAGATAGTCAATCCACACTCTCCCCTTTCCCTTCTTCCTTACTTTCTATTTTTAAGACAGGGCTAAGTCACCCACACGCCTCGAACTTGAGATCCTCCATCTTCATCTTTCCAGAGTTCTGGGATTACATGCTTTACACTCACACTTCTTCATCTGTAAAATAAGGATACTAATCACAGCCAACAAGGTTGGTGTGAAGAATGAAACAACATACTACACGGAAAATGTTCAGTACTGCCAGGCATGGTGGCGCACACCTGTTCCAGCTCTTCGGAGGCAGAGGTAGGAGGACCATTGTGAGCTCAAGACCAGCTTGAGCTACAAAATGAGTTCAAGGCCAGCTCAACTGCATAAAGAGACCCTGTTTCAAAAGAGACAAATAAATAAATCGGTATAGCCAGGATATAATGGGTATTCACTGTTTTTAGTAAGGCAACTCTGAAGTTTGGTTCTAGTGACCATCCCAGTAAGTGATAGCTTAGTGGTATGGGCCAGTAAAAGTGACAGAGGTGCCACCCAGCTATGGCACATGTAAACAGGAGCAGAACTGCAGTACTTGGTAAATTTCACAGAGCTTAGAAAATAGGTCCTCCCCTGCCCTCCTTGAGCAATAGTTTATTTATTTTTTTTTTAATTATTTTTTTTTTCTTCTCGAATGCCTTCAGGGCACTTTTGGCCAGCGGGAGAGTTGTGAGGTTCGAACTCCAGGAACCTGAGGCTGACAGCTTTGTGGAAGCAGCCACTTAAAGGACTGAGCTAGGCCCAGGCCCCCGAGCAATAGTTTATTTTAGCAGACCTCTTCCTTTCCTCCAGCTTGGGTGGGTACCAGCTGAAGGTGGCCTATGCAGGCTCACCCATCAGGTGGCAAGGTCTAGAGAACAGGCAGGTCTGACTCCCTATGTCAGGTTCTAGGGCCTTAGCTTTCCCCGAGTCCTAGAGTTGGAGGCTGGTAGGGCTAGCAGTGCCTTTGGAACCATCTCTTTGTTTTAGAGGCAAGAAAGGGAAGCTTTGGGCAATGAACAAGTTGTTCCAGCTAGTCAGCTCATCTGCTCAAACCCTAGACTTGGTCTCCTGTGAACAAGGGTCCCAGGTGTGCTCCCAGTGCAGCCCGCTGCTCTTGGGTTTTCTGAACTCTGGCGCCCCGTGGGGCCGCCACGTGCCCCTCAGATAGGTGCAGTCCCCCTTCTCTGGGCTCTTGCTGCTCACATAGCTGCTAGAACCATCCTGCACACTCCTGTCCTCAGTCTGTGTCTTTGGAGCCCTGAGGCCTTAGGGGTCTCGCCTGGGGGACACCCAAAGGGACACTCAGCATGGCTCTTCTCAGCCCCAGGCCCAAACTCAGCAGAAGCAGCCGCCTGCTCTATTTCTCTCTTCCAGCTCCATTCCTTCTAAGTCTTCTCACTAAGGTTCCCTTTGCTCAGGTTCTCCTCCTTTCTGCTTCACATTCTGGTTCTCCCATTCTCTTTCTGCCCGTCTTTCCCTCTGTTCCTTTCCTTCCTTCCTTCCAGTGTCGTTTTCTTTCGGAGCTGCGCCTCCTCTGGCTCCCCACCTCGACCCCTCACCCTCCCTTCCTCTCCCACCCTGTCTCATCCCTTCTCCCTTCCTCTTACCCTTCAACACATCTGTTTCTAATCTGAGCGTTCTGAGGCGCCTGCTTGAAACAAAAAAGCCCTCCACACCCTCAGAAACCTGGCACAAAAATTCCTTGATGAACCTTCCCTCCCCCAGCTCTCCGGTTTTCCTACAGACTCCCGAAACCAAATACTCCCCTAAAAATCACCCTCCACATCAAACAGTTCGCGGCCAAACTCAACCAGGAAACGCCCCCATCTCTGTCTAGCTCAAGGGCCCAGATGTGTGAAACATTCCGAAGGCCCGCTGGGCGGTCCCCGGCCGCCAGCTGCGCTGCTCTCCGTGGCGCGGAGGCAGGGACCGAGAGGTTGGCTCCCGCAGAGGCTGCGGGGACCACCGGGGACCACCGCGCCAAGGCGCGTCTGCCCCGACCCACCAGGCCCCGCCCTCCCGGAGGCACTCACCTAGCAAGAGGAGGCGGAGGAGGGACATCCCGATCCCCGGACGCGGGCGCGCCCCCCGCTCAGCCGCTGCCTGGCTGCGGGGCGTCCGGGCGCAGCAGACGGACCTTTGGGGAGCTGGGCGCGGCGCCTTGGGGAGCTCGCGGGGCTACAGCCATGTGCGGGCGCGGGAGCTGGCCTCGTGCCTCGCCCCGGGTCCCCGCGCCCTGCGCCCTGGGGCACCGAGGGACCCTGGTGCACGCCCCACCAGCCTGCGCCCGGCCGGAGCCGCAAACCGAGTCCTGGAGGAAAAGGCGAGGCGGAAAGGCACCTCCGCTTCACGGCACACTTTTCCCTGTTTGGAAAGAAAAAGGAGTGGAGAAAGAGAGGGAAAAAAATTGAGCTGGAACCACATGGTTGCCTCCTACCGCAGCCCCTCCCTCCTCCTTCTCCTCCTCCTCCTCCTCCTCGCCCTCCCTCCTTCCTTCCCTCCTCCCGCGCCCTCCTCCCCGCCGAAGGGGTGAGCGGTTGAGGCTGCCCGGCGGCGGGCAGAGGCGGGAGATGGCCGGGGCTGGGCTCTGCCCGGGGTTGGGAGGGAGGCCTGGGGGTTGAGGCTGTCGGGGGCAGTTTGGCTGCAGGAGCTCTCGGCAGGGCGCGACAGTGTAGCAGAGAATCCGCAGCCCTGGAGCCAAGAGCAGAGGCAGAGGAGGCCTTGTCGGTTCTCTGCGCGCACTTTGTCCTCCTCTCCACTTTTGCGCTTGCATCTTCCCCCCCCCCCCCATTCACATACTCAGATTCCACTTCTCTCACAAACCACCCCCCAGGTTTTTCTTCCTTACCTTATTCAGGCTTCTCCAATCCCACCTTCTCCAGGCCTCTCCCTACCCTCCCAGCCCTGTCCGGTCAGTGTAGGAAACCAGGCTGGCCACCAGGACCGCTCTGTATGGAAATGGATCCTGGGGAAGGTGGCCAGCCGCATTGACTGCAGCTTTTCTGACTAGCCAACCTTTTTGGCACCTCCATCACACTTCGCCTGGCTTTGCTTGGCCTTTCGTGTGTGCTCTTCCACCCGCCAGTCTTTACACAGTGAACTCTCAGCCCAGGGAAGAACAAAGTGACCATCACCCCGCGGGAGCAGCCCAGCGCCTGCATGTGGCCCCGGGGCAAATTATGCACTCTGCCACATTCAGGAAGCCACAAAGGCGCCACGCCGGGCCCTGGAGAGGCTGCACATGCTGCTGTGTAGGGGGGACTCAACTGCTGCTCCGTGGGGCACCGGGTGGAGAAGGAAAGGGCCGTGAGAGCCGCTCTCTGGCTCTAGCTGGTCTGCAGCCATCCCTCACTCTGCTCTAACCAGCTTTGCCTCTCCGGGTGGTAATAAAGACCAGTCCTAGATCATAGTCGAGGATGCAGAGGCCCGAGAGTGCAAGGGTGCGTGGAACTTCTGAAGGTCACTCAGAAGCGTGGGCGAGGGCAGAGCGGCTACCAGGCGCGGGATCTGCTGCACAGTTGCGGAGTCCAGCTGCCTCCGCCTTTGCACATTGAGAAACTGTTCCATGTGCATCCACCCTGGGCTTTCTTTGGCGTTGAGCACACAGAATGGTTACAATTTGGTAACTAATTGACATTTTAAAAATTGGAAAGGTACTTCAGACACTAACTCTGGGCCAGGGATCTTATTAATTAGTGCTTCTAATTTTAATTCTTAGGACAAGTACCAAGGATGGGTATTATCAATTCCACTTTAAAGGTAACAGAACTACAGTTTAGGGTTAAATAGCTTGTCCCAGATCACAAACTGCTAAAAGCTCTCTATTCCAAAAATAATATAACAGTATTATATTTTATATTACGATGTATTTAAAAGGTTTGCTTAACTCTGCAATAATTTTGTTTTACACTTTATACATATCATCTAGTAGGGAAATAGATATATTCACAACTATAATTCATATGTGAATGTACTGAAAAATGTGACTATAAAGATTTAAAAAGATGAAAATTACATGGAGAAGATAATTTTTGTAGTTTTTGCTTTATATTTTTCTAAAGTTTTGACATAATTCCAAACTTACAAAAACTTGTGAAACTACTTCAGGAATTTTTGAATACCTTTAACCCAGATTTCCTCTTTTTCTTTCTTTCTAGAAGAGGTATATATGTACAGTTTTAAAGCCCACACATACTCCATCACTATTGCTGATTGGCGCTGAAGAGCCAGTGTGTGAATGCAGACAGATTGCCCAAGGTCTTGAAGTATCATGATGTCTTCAGTGCTGGGTCATCAGCAGGAAACAATTAACTCTGCCTGAGGCTGAGGTGGAGTCCGGAGCACTCAGGCTTCCAGGTTCCGAGTCTTGTAGGCAGGAGGTTTTGGGTACATCTTCCTTGGCGGGGGTCTTTGGGCCCCAGGAGACAAACATCCCTGAGTCCAAAATTTAGGTGCAGAATTATCGTGTAGAAGTGCCTCTGGAGATGGTTTGTGATACAGCAAGCCCTGGCCCAGCTACTCTGGCTCCTACCAAGCTCACACTGGTTGCCTTAAGGAATCTGAAAAGGTATGCAACAACCCCTAAAGCACCTCCAGGCCAGTGGGAGAGAAATCATCCCTTGTGAAATGGTTCAACAACAGCACAAGAAGGCAACCTGAGATGGTAAGACCTAGCAAGGGCCCCAGGATAGTGGCTTGGAGCAAAATTGTGAAGGGCTCTGTATGAGAGACAAAGGACTCTGGAACTTGTTCTGTGGGCTCTCAGCAAAAAGTGTTAATAAAAACACACCTTAATGAGGACCAAAGGAAATGTAAATATCTGGCTTCTCAGAGATGGACACAAAGGAACCCCAGTGGTGAGCATTGCATCCTTTTCCCATTCATTTGCTGTCTCACCACTACACTTTAATGTGCACAATTGACACTGTATCAGTCATGGGGCCAGCGAGATAGCTCAGCTGTCTAAAGTACAAGCTTAAGCAACTGTGCAGTTTGATCCACAGCACCACATGCTGTGCCAGCCCTGCCCCCAGTTTGGGTTTAGCTGGCCACAAAATAAAAACAACAACAACAACAACAACAACAAAAAGAACCAAGACATTGTACTAGTCATTTGTAAAGTGATAGATACATATGCTGCTCTAAGAATCACCCTTATCCTCCTCACTATCTGGGGTGCCAAAGAGTGCCATCCCAAATCTGTGTTCTGTACAAGTTCTGAGCCAGCATTCAGAGCGAATGAATTAGAAGGGGAAAGGTGGAGCAGAGGAACTGCTTAAAACATATTGCATTAAATGGGCAGATAAGAGGAGGGTGGCAAAGCAAACAGAAGATTTTTGGAAGAAATATTAGTGCCAGGCATGGTGGCACATGTCTGTCATCCCAGCACTCAGGAGGCTGAGGCAGAAGGATTGCCTCAAATTCAAGGCCAGCCTGGATTACCTAGCGAGTTCAAGACCAGCCAGAACTACGTAGCAAGACCTCATCTTAAAAAAAAAAGAAAAGGAAAAGGAAAAAAACGATTAGCAGGGATTAGGAGGAATCTAATAGTCATTGTGAGTCAACAAGGAGGGAAAGACAAATGAGAAAGATGAGTGTGAGAGACCTAATATGTTATTATCCATGCTGAAATGAATGGCGACCGTTTCTTTACCTCCTGTTAGTGTCTTAGTTACTTTCTTATCCCTGAGATATAATACCTGACACCCACAACTCTAAGGAGGAAAGTTCATTTTGGCTCACAGTTTGTAGACATCCACTGCTAGGAGGAAGAAATAAATTTAAGAGGAAGGCGCCCACAGTCCAACACATACAACTTGGTAAATATTTGTTCCAACTAAAGCTAAGCGGAGTTCCTAGGATTCCATTCCCTGCGGTAAAAAGAGCTCATTTCAGTCCCATTTCCTTTTTCTATTAAGACAAGGTTATCTTTCTTTCCTGTCCTACAAGGATACTTTTCAATTTGGCCTTTCAGTGTGTTCTTTCTTTTTGTGTCTGGACGGTAAAAGGCCCCAGCTGGCCTTCAGCGCCAAGCCTGGACAACTTTTGCTGGTGCTGTCTGAGGGCCCTGTGTACTAGCGGAGGCTACGAAGTCGCTCTCCTCCTCATGCTAGTGGGAGCAGCTGTTCCCTTCTCAAAGGGCCAGGGAGAGGGACAGAGGGGAGAGGAGTCAGGACCTGTTCTACTTTGTGTGGGCACAGCAGGAGGCAGGGATATTTCATGGCTGGTGCTTCATTTAGGATGTGTGTTTGTGAAGAGGAGATCTCAGCCCCCATCTGGCTGCTAGCATCCAGGATACACAAGCCTGCCTCTCTCGAGTTAGGATCTGAGGGGTCCATGGGAGCTCAAAAGCCAAGAGCAACAGAGAAGGTTCCTATGACTGTGGGGTCTTGAGTGGCATCAGGTGTCTTTGCTCCCCATTCGCCCTTCTTCACTGAAGCCAGCCATTTGTGGGCTCTCTCAGCTTCCCCCAACCTTGCTTTCAATTCCTAGGGAGTAACCCCCTGTGGGAGGCGAGCAGGCTTCAGTAAAGCCAGGCTGATTTTGATTCCAGCTCCTCTCTTGACTGCGCTTCACTTAGCTGTTTCTTTTTTTCTTTTTTTTCACGGAACTGGGGATTGAACTCAGGCCCTTGCACTTGCCAGGCAAGCACTTATTCTACTGAGCTATCTCCCCAGCCCCTTGGCTGTGTTTCTAACCTCTCTTAGCCTATCACATGTGTAACATTTTTCATTTGGTGTTAAGAAGACTGCAGACTGTATAAGGTGCTCCCTTCTCTCTTCCCACTGAATTAATGCAACAATATGTGTCCTGCCTCCAGGATACATTCATGCTCTGAACTGGTTTTGCAGAGGGTCTTTCCCTCGCAAAGCAGAGGAAGACAGCTTCTCCCTTCTATACAGGCAAACGGACATCTGGTGGCTGCTTAAGGAATGCAGCAAAAGGAATAGTAGAGTGGTCCTGTCTCCTTTCCTTGAATTGTTCCCCATCCCAGCTGAGATTTTTTTTTTTTTGGTGGAACTGGGGATTGAACTCAGGCCCTTGCGCTTGCCAGGCAAGTGCTTATTCCACTGAGTCATCTCCCAGGCCCCCCAGCTGAGATTAAAAGCACTGACACAAAGGTGCCAAATGCATGAGGAACGTGATTCAGCACTAAGTTTCAGATTATTGGGTTGAAAAGTGCATCAGAGGCCTCGACCTATCATTTTACTGAAAAAGATACCAGCTCCGAGAGGAGCAAGCCACACGCGTGGCCCTGTGCAACTAGCTGATGACGTAGGAGCTCTGACTCCTGGATTCCTGAGTGACTTCTGGAAGACAAGCCATGAGGTGGGTAGCAAGACTCCCACCTGGCTTCGGGTTGCATTCAGTCAGTGACCTGTGTGATTTTCCTGAGATTCCAGC